CTGTTAATTTCATCTTTAGTGAGAAACTCAGAAAGGGCCATTCTGAGTTTTACTAGATGCCAACAAGTGTATTTACCTCTTTTTTTCGTGCAAATCAGTATCAGAGTTGTTGGGTTTTTCGGTGCAAAATGAAGTGCAGAGAGAATTGCCCCCATTCTTTTATCAAATTCTTATTGTAGACCTACCACATGCAAGGCATTGTAGAGTATAGGGAAACAATAGGGACATAGTACCTGTTCTTGGGCTTACTATCTTTGGGCTTGCTATGTGACAGACATGGTAGATGCTCAGTAAATAATTTTTGAATGAATCGTGGGGTGTGTGTGGCGGGGGATAAGGTGTATAAAATAAGGCTATAATGGAACATTGGGTGAGTCAAATACATTTAAAGTTACAGTGTGAATTTTTATAGACTAAAGAAGATACTTCTAAATGCCAGGATAAGGAAATAATCTGTAGGACGGCCTCTCAACCGCAGTGCCATTGACATTTTGGGCCATATAATTCTTTGTTGTGGGAGGCTATCTTGTGAATTTTAGGGTGTTTAGCAGTACTTCTAGTCTCTAATCTCCCCTCCCAGTTGTGATAACTCTCTCCAAATATTGCCAAATGTCCCTTGCAAGGCAAGACTGCTTTTGGATGAAACAGGTATTATAGGGGATGTCTTTTGAGGGAATGGGGAGGAGGGAAACCTTCCTCTGCATAAGGAACAAAATGGGGGAAAGCTTAAATGCAGGTGCATTTATCAGGAGAAATTAATTTGATGTGGCATAAGGGAGGTGGTGTGTAAAATGGGCTAGTATGAAATGATGCTGGATACAGATCATGGATGTATTGTATGCACAGTAAGTTGGAGTTTCATTTCGGAGGCAATGGGGAGCTATTACTTTGTCGAGCAAAAAGACAAGATCAGAGTCTTGCTTTTTATGAAGATCGATCTAGCAGTCATTTAGATGTAGCCAGGATTAGAGAGCAAATAAAGAGGATGCAGAGAAGTCAGGCAACTCTAAAGTAGTCCAGGAAAGAAGTAATTCTGGATAATAGCAGTGGTAATGGGATTGGAAAGGATTAGAGTGTTTACTAGAAGAGTAGAATTTAGCAATAAACTGAATGTGAGGAAGAGGGATCTAAGCTGATATTTTATTTATTTTTCTTGGCAACTGGCTGGTACGAGGATCCAAACCCTTGATCTCGGTGTTACACCATCATGCTCTAACCAGCTGGGTTAACTGGTCAGCCCCTAAGATGAAATTTTAAATTTGAGACAGACAGTGGTAATACCATTAAAGAAATTGAGATCACAAAATGAGAAATGGTTTATAGAAGAATATGACAAGTTTCATTTTAAAAATAGTAATTATCTGTTTATACATTTTCAAAATTGCCATTCCAGCTAATGCATTTTGATTAGTTTGTGCTGTAGGCCTTTTTGAAATTAAATCCAATTTTGGTTTTCTGAACAATACACCAGATTTCTAGGAAAGTATTGTAGGTACAACTGCCTCTAGACATCTGTTTAGTGCCTATTATAGCATGTTAGGTCCTACAGACGTAAGAATGATGAAAACAACATCTTGTCCATTAATGAGATGATGTTAGGGGTCTAGCAATACTTGTTCGTCTTATTCTGTGACCCACCGTTTCCCATTACCTTATTAAGTGCACAATCTTGAGAAAGGCATAAACCACTAAATTTATTACCTTGAAATAAATTTTGTCATACAGGTATGGTGTCTTAGTCTGTTTTGTGCTGCTGTAACAGAATACCACAGATTGGATAATTTATAAAGAATGGAAACTGATTTCTCACAGTTCTGGTGGCTGGGAAGTCAAAGATAAAGATGGTGGCATCTGGTGAGGGTTGCTCTATGCTTTTAAAATGGTGCCTTGGATGCTGCATCCTCAGGAGGGAAGGAACATTCTGTTCTCACATATAAGCAAAGGCAGGTAGGAGGGATGATGCATGCTTTATAATTAAGATAGTTGAGTAGATGGATTGTTTGTGCAAACATCTGCAAATTCCAAGTATTTTAAAATGTCAGGTCTGTGATTCCAATAGGTTTCTACTGCCAGAATCCTGGGTTTCCAAAATTACATTTGATGACCTAGGAATAACTCATTTAGATTAGTGGAGGAGCCAACATCAGTTCACAGACCAAAATTTGTCAATTACTGTGCATATTCATAATACACCTTCTCATACATATTTTAAATTTGTTGTTGAAATCACTAAGCACTATGATATTTTTTTTAAACAACTATGATGTTCTAATGGAAGGGAAGTTAAAAAATTGATTAATGGTTTGTTTCCACCTTAATTAGGACAGCTCTCACACTGTCTCCCATAGGCCAAGGGATAAAAGAGTGGAATGGGGTGGTGAATATAAGAAAACTTTTAATAGCTCCCCCTTATTTACAGAATGAAATCTAACATTCAAGACTCCTCAATCTTAGAATATCTTTTTCTAATTGTTACCTCTTAGAAGAGGTAAAAGAATTAAGTAATATAGTACATGGTAATATTTTATAATCTGTGAATATGTACTTCATTCATAACTGAAAAGACCCAAGAGGAAACTGGTAAAATAGTGGGAGACAATGAATATGGTCACTTTTATTCTTGAGTTGCATAGGTCACTGAAAGCTGCATCAAGTGTTCCTATGAACATAGAATGCCTTTCATGAACAGATTACAAGGAAGAGGAATTCTCTTTAAGTTATAATTCTCTGATTTATTTGATAACCACCTTTGGCCAGCTTTAAAATGCTAACCTGTCTTTAATATTTTTTCTATACTTCCAATTCAAAGCAATAAGGTGAGACAGTAAAGTATCAATATAAACTACTTTGCAAATTAGAACAAGCAAAGGAAATTTGGCTAATAAATGTTGATTGAAGAAAGTGGAAACACACCATCTGACAACATAGTTTTGAATTTATGTAGTACATATGCCCCTAAAAACTTGGACTAGTGTTGATTCTAACAAATATGAAAAAATTGTGGCAATTTAGAGAGTTAACTAAATGTCTCCTAGTTCTTTAACATTTTAGTCATATGACTTTAATAGTGAAATCATTTTCTCTGGAAATCCTACCTTGTGACTCCTATAAATTCAAGAGTTATTCATTATCTGTTAGGTGGGGCTCTTCTCATTGTAGTAGGGTTTAGTTTACGTCATGTTTAAAAAAAAAAAATTCTTCAGCCATTTCCGTCTTTTAATACTTCTTTATCCAGTAAATTAAATGTTCCAAATTTCTTTATCAAGTATACTTCTTTATTCTCTGTTGCTTTCAGCACCACAAGGTCTTTTAAAGCTGTGCAATCCCAAGCAAACATTCCTGGGCTTTCCTTACCTCTTAGGCCTCAATTCTCTGGTGTCGGTCTTCTCAGAAAAGAGCTATGCATAACCAGGATTCCCATGGAAAAAGGAACAACTTAATAGCTTTTAAATCTTGTGATGGAAGAATATTGATAAAGATTATACTGCTTTAGTGTCAAACTCATTTTCAGCTATAAATTCTCAATTCACAGGGTGAATTCATTTGTCTCACCTTTTTTTTTTTAAGAGTAATACATCTCAGCAGTAATGCTCATATCAGCATCCATATCTGGCCTATATAAATATATATTTTAGTGACAACAATGCTAGATCACAGGAAAGGGAGGGAGTACTCAAAACTAACCAAGTCTTAAGCCCTAACTTCCAATTTGTAAGAAATAATGACTTGAGGAACAAGTTAAACGACACCATATGTAGCCTGATCTTCTCAAATGAAAATTTAATGTCATGAAAAAAATGGAGAGGGGGTGGCAGAGCTATTCTGGATTAAGGGAAACTTAAAGAAATATAACCACCAACCAAGTTCCATATATAATCCTTAATTGGATCCTGGATTGAAGAAGCCAGATATAACACATTTTGGGGAGAACTGGGGAACTGAATTATTGGGTACTTGAAGATATTAGGGAATTACTGAATTTTGTTAGGTGTGATGTTGGTGTGTGCTTAAATAGAATAATGTCATTTGAAAATGCAAGCTGAAATATTTAAGGGTGAAGTGGCCTGATATTTGTAATTTACTTCAAATACTAAGCAAATATGAAAACATACTATTGAAAGTAGGTAATGAGTATGGGTGTTTGTGCCAGATAAATTTATTGCCACTCAGCAACAGATTTACCTTTCATTGCCCAAACCTTGTTATACTGGAGCTGGATCTGTGTGTGTTTTGACACGCTCAAAACCAAAGCAACCTTTAAACATTTATCTTTTGCCAGCTAGCACCGTATTAAGCTTTCATTAGGGGGTGGTGGAAGGACACTGCAGGAAATTTTGTGTGAACTTGGCTGGGCCACAGGGTGCCAAGATATTTGGACAAACATTACTTTGGGTATTTCTGTGTGTTTGGATGAGATTTACATTTAAATCAGTGAACTTTTGAGTAAAGCACATTGCCCTCCATAAATTAGGTGGGCTTCACCCAATCATTTGAAGGCCTGAATAGAACAAAAAGACTGGCCTCTTCCAAGCATGAGAGAATTCTCTGGCAGGCTGCCTTAGAACTGGAACTGCACCATCATCTCTCCTGGGTCTCTAGCTTGCTGGCCTACACTGCAGATTTTAGACTCATCAGTAATCATGTGAGCCAATCCTTATAATAAATTGTGTATAAACACACACACACACACATGCACCCTATTGGTTCTGCTTCTCTGGAGATGCCTAGTAGTTACCTACTGAGGCTTACTATCCAACAAATTTTGCTTCACCCTGGCAGAAAGCTTCTTGCTTACCAGTCCCTGAAGGTTTGAGGTTCTCTGTTTGCAAGTCCTTATCCATCAACTGCACACTAGCTCTGGCCCAGGGCAACCCAGGGAACTTTTCCATCACTGAATGGGCCATGACCTAACCTTACCCAATAGACCGGATTCCACTGAGGGGAAGGGAAGCCCCTTCCAAGAGTGTTCTCTCCTTGGGTACTCTCTTCTTCAGTTTTACTGTATTTGAGTTCTCTATTATCCCTTCTTAACAGCCAATTCCATTATAAGTTAAAAATTCTTTATATTAAAATTATCTCTGTTCAAATTAATGGAATGGTTTCTGTCTCCTGACTGGACCATACTAATACAGCAGTTACTGTCATATTTCTATTTACATTTGAAGTTTCTTAGAGAGTTAAACCAAATTTTTGATCACCTGCTATTTTATATATAACAAAGGACTATTTTTCTTTTGTCTTCTTATAATAAAGAGTCCTGGATTTACAACCAGTCATGATTATATTGTATGTTTTTTACTAGTACATTCAGAGAGATTTATATAAATTACCTGTATCTTTAAAGTATGTGTATTACTTCCAACTGTGCTAACTCATGTTTTTCAAGAGAATACTGGTAAATACTTACGTACAATGTGATTTACTATAGAATTTTTATGAGCAATAAAAGGCTTTAATAACAAATCAACTTAAACTTTTTTGGAAATAATTTCTAATAAAGATTCATAATCAGCATAGTCCTTCAATGACTGTACAAGTTCATCCAGTAGATAATGTCCTTGCATAAAAGTTTCAGGATCATGCAGTGACTTGTTTATTCTGTGATCTGTGACCCGGTTCTGTGGAAAATTGTATGTTCTTATTTTTTCAGACCTTCCTTTAGTTCCAATCTATATATATATGAGAAAAAGATATGAGATGTAGTTAGGTTCAGGACAACTTAAACCTACAAGTTTAACTTACTTGGAGATTAAGTTCTTGGTTTATAATATGAATCACAGTGCAAGAACCAAGTTTTAAACATTTTGAATCCCCAAATGACATGGGAACATGATATGGAAAAAAATACGGGCTTTAAAATCATACACTTTAATATTTGAATCCTGTCTCTGCCACTTCAGTGCTCTGTGACTTCAGGCAGTTTACTTTAGCTAAACACTTTAGTGACCCTCTCTGCAAAATACAGACGAATGAGCTCTACCCCTATCTGTGAAATAGAGACAAATGAGATCCACTACAGAGTGATGGTGGTATATATACAGAGAGCCTGGCACACAGTTGGTATTCAAATAATAGCTGAATATATATAATCTCTCTGAATTAATGTAATCATTGTCAGTGGTGACAAGATGATGAATTCCCCTTATTGAGGAATTCTTAAAAGGGCTCTGTAGTTATAAAATTAAATACCAAACAAGAAGAAAGTAAGTTCAGTTTGCCTACCAACTCTTTTGCTTGAAATCCATAATTTAAAAGGATTAAAAAATGAATGGGGACTCAGTCTATCTTTTTTTAGTAATTTTGATTAGAAGTCTAGGAAAAATGCCTTTGAAAATTCATAACAGAAAACAAGGCAGGGGCAAAAGATTACTGTAAAACAAGTACAGCCCTTAGTTAAGCTACTTGAATTGTTTTCTTATTTTGACAAATATAGTAAAACAATTTTGACATATATAAAAACTGAGTTATCTAAAAATATTTTTATCCTTTAGAAGCATTTTTAAAGTTTATTTTTACCTGCATCTTTCTAGCACTGTATCTTTTACTTGTTTCTTGTTCTAGATGCATGCTGTACAACTTTGCACGTAGCTTTTTCATAGCCATCTCTCTATTTTTCAGTTGAGATCTCTCTTGTTGGCATTCAGAAACAACACCTGAATAGTGGTATGAGAATAAGATTTAATAGAAAAATTCTTCTTTATATATAATCAAGGAATATCCTTTTCTTTCTCATGCTTTTTCTTCTTCCTTTATGAGGGGAGAAAAACCGGACTCTAATATAAAAGAAAGACCCCAAACTTAAATAACTTTTATAAAGTTTATCAGAAAACTGAAAATTTAAGTTTAACCTATAGCACAAAGTATCTCCATATTGAAGGTATACATACTAAACACTAAGCATAAATCACTTAATATGGATTGTTTTTCCATATCCTCAGCTAGCCTCATAATTTTTTTAAAGTAATAATTACTTATAGAAAATAAGATACATAGAAGGTAAAAATGTTATTACTAGTAGAGATAATTAATACCTTTCAGGATTTCCATTTTTTCTCCTATTCTTGTTTATGTACTCTGTATGACATATCACACCATCTTAAAGTTTAACATGAGAATTTCCCCGTATTTAAAAGAACAAAACCATGTCAATGCACCACTCTCACCAATTACTGTTGGTTAATGGGAATTATGCCTATTTGAGATCAGTCACAGTAAGAGATTCTTGTATTCTTTCTAGATAACTCAGGTTTGCTATATCCATATGCTCTTTACCACATGTAAATCGCTATTATATGCAAAACTCTGCACGTATGTATGTTTCATGGTAGAAGGAAGGATGCTTTCATTTTCTCAAAGGAGTCCATGTTCCCTTCACTCTCAAAAAGGCAAAGAACCAGTGATTCAGAGAATTTTCTGATAAAGAATCCACGATTACTTCACTGTGAGGATTTTTTTAAACAGCTAAAACTATTAGGTATAAACTTCAGAAGGCCACCTGGAAGGACTATCTGTACCTTCTCTTCATAGTCACTAAAATGGAAATTCCCCGGGCTTAGATCCCTCCCTCTTCCTGCTTTGCAGCGATCCTATACAGTATTAGCTAAGGATGCTAAATATATCAAATATTTAATAATAATCCTTTGTAGTATATATTCATTCCTCTAGTAATTGAGGACCTTTTTCAGTGGAAAATTAGTCAAGTCATTCAGAAACTGATTTCTTTCTTCAATGTTTTATGTTGAAGAAGTAAATACATACCTGTTGGAAGATGAACTATCCGGACAGCACTGTCCGTGGTATTTACATGCTGTCCCCCAGCTCCACTGGCTCGCTTAGTATCAATTCTCAAATCTTTAGGATTAATCACCAGATTAATCTATATATAAGTAGAAAAGTTGGGATTATAAAAAATTCCATTATACCAACTGTATAAAGGCAATAGCTGCCTATTTATAAATACATATCATGTACCGAATTCATATAAGATATAGAAGGTTTAATTTTAAGAATAGAAAGTAGTTGAAAGGATACCTTTTAAAACTTTTTTTCCTTTTTGGAAGAGTAAGTAAGAAATCAAAACATAATATAGAACAAAAACAAAACTTCCCCAATCTTCAAAAACTGGGCTTCTTTGTAAATTACCCCCTTCTTGCCACATGAACAGCAGAACTTAGCTACTGTTAGAAATGTGAATATATGAGCTACGACGAGATTTTGTAGAGTATTTTTGAATTCAAAAAGACTTTAGCAAAGGAAAAAAACAATGCTAGCTTGAGAACTACAGGAAAGGTTTATTTTATTTAACTTCAAACATATTTGGAGGCAGAGATGAGGCAAATGGAAATGACAAAGGCCAAGAAGTCAAGGTTATGGGCTCAATTCATGAATAAACTGGGAGCTTACATCAGGATAATGCTCTGTCTTGGGTGTCACCATCAAAAACACTAGGTTTAAAAAGCTCTATTTCATTAACAACTATGGACCACACCGTGACTATGGGCCACACCACTCACAATCTGGCAGTAAGAAACCATTCCCTAGGCCCTCCATGTCTCCGTACTTGACTCCCTCTTACAACTGCTAGAAGAATTAGGTAATATATGGTCCTCAGGTTCCCATCTTTTCTGAAACTCCTTCTACCTCTAAGATGTTTAAACCAAAGTGACTGTTACTAGGTATAGCTCCTGCTATTTATTCTACTTCACTCTCTCCCTTAACTGTTCCATTCCTCACCTATGCTTCAAAGGGAACTCCATTAAGTTCATTACAGAGAGTCAAATGGCACTTTTCCCCAAAATAAACAAACAGATCTTCAACTGAACTTCCTTCTCAAATCATTCATATTTCATTCTGGAAAACAAGTTAAATATTTCCTATCATCACTTTTCAGCAGAAGAGAAATTTAACAAAACAGTACTTTAAACAAAGTTTTCTTACAAATACAGACTGAGAATTTGCTTTGGACTTTAACAATATATTTCTATTTTATTGTAATTGGGTTACGAAGTATCACTTCTATTAATTAATTACCCTTGCTAAAACAGTATTGCTATTAATTTCCTTGGCTTCAGAAACACAAAACAAAAGTCATTGTAAAGGCAACCAGTCCATATTTAAATAGGTTAATATTATTTCACCTACAGAAATGTCTATTTTAGTAGTGGAAGAAAATTAATAGACAATGCAAGATTGGATCATTTATAAATCCTTTATTCTTATCATCTGTTGTAAAATTAAACTTTTTTGGACTGAGATGATAGATTCTCAAAATCAACTCAAAATATGTGAGGAAGGTCAAATGATAATAAGAAAAGGAGATACTCAATTCAGTAAACTCTGAGTGTTACTCTGGGAATAAGGCACTGTGTTAGGCCCAGAATTCCAAGGAAAAGAGATTATTATGCTTTACCTCAGCAGGCTGGGGTAATACTGCTACAGTCATAGTGCTAGTATGGATGCGTCCGTGCTTCTCTGTCTTTGGCACTCTTTGTACTCTGTGCACACCTCCTTCAAATTTCATGTGCTTATAGGCTGCTGAACCCCCAATGCTGGCAGATGCATGTCTAAGACCACCTTGAACATACAGAGAAAATATAATTCTTTTTATTATTTCTGTCCTCTATAAATTGGCCATCACATCTACCATCCTGAAATATATTAAAAGAGCCACAAAAGAATATAAGCATAGAAACTTTAAACGGCGCACTCGGGAGAGTGCGGCGCTGGGACCCGCCACGGGTTCAGATCCTATATAGGGATGACCGGTGCGCTTACAGTGCTCGCTGGCTGAGCACGGTGCGGCCGGTCTCAAAAAGGACAAAAAAAAAAAACTTTAGCAAGTCTATGGTATTCAGTGTTTTAATATTAATCTTTATTGCTTATAATTATTAAACATAAAGCACTTATAATGCTAATGAATTGACATCAACACATCTAAAAGACCACTTTTAAAGACATTTAGTCATTCAGCAGATAGTATTACTGAATGACCATTCATTACATTTTACAGGCCATTTCAAAATTGGTATATGTGCATTCATAATTACTAAGTAAATGATGAGCACAAAACTATTTAAGCATCCTTACCAAAAAGTTTTAAAGCCTTTTCCTAGGACACATGTAGATAAATACATTAAATCTACAATTTACCCAAAACAAATTGAACAGTTTACTGACCTATTTCGCTTGGAAAATACTCCAGGGTTTCAAAATGCCATCTTTTAAATGCAGCATATTGCTGATACATATCAAATATCTCTGAAGTAAACAACATTGCCTCCTGACCCCCAACTCCTGCAGTTACCTCCACGATCAAATCACTTTCATCTGTTTCTTCTGAGGGAATCAAAAGTAAGATAATCTGTAAATACAAAAATATCACCCCGCCTATAATTCAGAGTTATTTAAAATTTATCCTTCATTCCCCAACAAAGCTTCATTTGAATTAGGTACAGGAATTTTAATATCTTCAGTTTCTCTAAGCAAATAATTTAATATTGCTGAGTACTGTTCAACCATCCATGCATAACTCCCATAAAGTATTAATGTTACAACTGTATTACAAATGCTGTATGATTCAGCTAAAACTTACCTAATTGTTTTTATTTCTTCTTGGAGTTCTTGTATGCTTTGTATCAATTCTCTATTCAGTTAATAAGAATTAAGTGCTTGCTTTGAGTAGGACATTATACTATGTGCAGAATGCAAAAGAAGATTCTAGCTGCTGTATCCTCTTGAAATTTAAGGCCTAGTATGACAGAAAAATAAAAGCGCTCGAATTGCATCTGTATGTTTTTAAGTTTCCTTAGTATGGAAGAGATGTAATTTTGGAACTGGAAAGGCCCTTACAGATGATCTGCTCCAATTCCCTCATTTCACATATAAAGGAAACTGAGGTTAACAGAGGTTAAATTACTTGTTAAAGGGCAAAGTGTTAGTTACTGACAGAGCAGGCATGAGAACTCAAATCTAGGCCCTTACAGATGATCTGCTCCAATTCCCTCATTTCACATATAAAGGAAACTGAGGTTAATAGAGGTTAAATTACTTGTTAAAGGGCAAAGTGTTAGTTACTGACAGAGCAGGCACGAGAACTCAAATCCTTACTGACAGAGCAGGCATGAGAACTCAAATCTTTGTGCCTTGGTCAGCCTCCCTTCCATTACAATAGTATGTTTCACACTTACATATGTACTAGTTAAGGGGATCTACAATAAAAGCTTTTTAGATTAGGTCGATTAATAAGGTTTTTAATATATGGCTGACATTCTGCTATGCATTGTACATACTTTAACTCTTAAAAACAATTTTGGGTAGGTACTATTAAGAGTTCCACCTTGAGGGCCGGCCCGGTGGCGTGGCGGCGCTTCTGCCGAGGGTTCGGATCACATGTGGAGACCGGTTCCCGCTCACTGGCTGAGCGCGGTGCGGGCGCAACACCGAGGGTTGCGATCCCGTTGCCGGTCCCCGGTACGGGCGTGACACCGAGGGTTGCGATCCCGTTACCGGTCAGTAAAAAAAAGACAAAAAGGAAAAAAAAAAAAAAAGAGTTCCACCTTGAGATGTGAAACTAAGTGTAGAAGGGTTGCGTAAGCTAGTTGCCCAATATCACACAACTAAAAAGTGGAAGAGCTAGAATTGCGCCCAAGTCTACCTGAGTTCTGAACTATTACACTTCACATTGGTCAGGAGCTACACTTACTACTACTATTCCAATTCTCTAGCTTGTGCCAATACGATGTGATCATTCAAATCTCGAACTACCAAATAGACTTGACTTCTGTTTGTTGGACAAAAACTTTTAATACATATATCCTTGATTCACAAAAAATGGGTAGAGGGCATGCTATATTATTCACCCTACAGTGGAACTTTGTTACTTGAGTAGGTGGTAGGGAAATTAATTTTCATAAGTTTCATATTTGGTTAGTGAAGAGGTGGAATCTCTAAATTAAAAGTGCCTCATTCCTCAGCTCCTTCCTCACCTTAATATGTTCTTTCATTTATTATCCCCAGAGATAATTGCTATCATCCTTTAAGCTCTGCTTTACAGAATTAGCAAAAAGCAAAGAATAGTTCTAATTTCATATAATGATTATTCTTCATCTAACTCCTATATGTATTCCTGCAATTTTCCTGAATGTAAAACCAAAGCAGTACAATTCAGTTTTTAAATTACTAAGGGCCTACTCTAGGTCTGGCGCTCTAATAGTGCCAGAGATACAAGGATAAAGAAATATTCCTGCCCCTAAGGAGCTTACAGTCTACCATCACTCTATAAATCCTTTTACCTCTTGTCTACCTCCAGTCCCCTTAAAAAAACCAAAAGAGGGGAAATATGCCAATATTTCACTGCCTTTCCAGAAAATGCTATTAATGTGATATTCATCTTTCTGTGAGAGCTCTACAATCCTTTTAGTATGATAAAAATAGGACCACGTGAATTATATCTTTTCCTGCTTTCAAAACCTATTTACTAATAGTGGTAATTGTTTCACAATATGTGCATATATCAGAACATCACTATGTACACCTTACATGTATACACAATTTTTATTTGATTATACCTCAATAAAGGAGAAAAATAAAAAAATTTTAAAAAATCAGTTTATTCTAAAGAGGAACTATTGTAGTTACTTCTTGAATTACTTTTATAAATTTCTAATAAGATACATAAGAAGTAATAGCACAAATGCTTTATTCTTTGTGCAAATACCATACCTGATGCTTCAACTGAGTTATTTCTTTTTGACACAAAGTTATTTCATTCTCTGCAAGTTTCCTTAAATCTTCATTGTTATCTAAAGAAAAAAAGCAAGAGTTAAGTTTTTCTTAATTAGTGTTAAATTACCAACAGACTTCAAGGGAATAGTTTTGTTACTGTAACTGAAGGGAAAAGTAAAAGGTCTATCTTGTCCTTTTAATAATTGCCATTAATTAAAAGTAGCATTTATACATTAGTTTTCATAAGCTTGTTTCTGTAAAAGCATACTTTTTTCTGATGATAAAAGAATAAGTAAAACGAAATATAAAGAAGTTTCTATAGAAAAATATAAAGCAGCAAGTTAGAATTTTGTATAATTTGCTCTCTCTCTCTGTTCCACATTTCTGCCATGTGAGACCCCTGGGTCACTGTCGCCACCACCAAGACCCTCACCAGATGTGTTCCCTGCACTTTGGACTTCCCAGCCTCTGAAACTAAAAAGGACATAGGAAATAAAGTAATAAAGAAACACCTGAAAAAGAAAAATCCATCCAACATACCACAAATAGGATTTTCAGAAAGAGATATAAACAAAATGGATAGGCGGATATCATCAAATAAATACTTAGGAAAATCCTTCTCAACTCCAAGCATAGCAACATGTAATAACACCAAGTATCAAGAAAAGTTTTAAAAAGTTTCCAGAGAAAAGACAAAAAATAAAAAGAAAATATTCTTTACATTGGAACAAGGTTCATATTACCATCTTACTGCTCACGAACAACGCCAGATTCTAGAACAACATAAATTTCATTGAAGAATGGACTAAAATAGTTTCAATCTTGAATTCTGAAGGCAGCCAAACTTTGATCATGCAGATTCAGAAGATTTACTTCCACTGAACTCTTTCTGAGGCAGTTATTTGAAAAATATACTCCAGTGAGATAAGCATTGAAACCAAGGAAGAAGACCTGAGATACATGAAGTGGTATGCTAAGCTATGTGTGCAGTAAAAGAAACTGTAGGATGAGACCTGAGGAAGTGACTAAGAAAACAATTAGTCTGTAATGGCACAAAACCAGTGGGCTCAAAGAAAAACGTCTTATCCAGTGCTTCTCCCACTTTACAGTACAGATGATTCACCCAGAAATTTTAAAATGTAGATTCTGGTTCAGTAGGTCTGCAGTGGGGCCACAGATTCTGTATTTCTAACAAGCTCCTAGTTGATAATGATTCTGTTGCTACATGGACCATACTATGAGTGGCAAGTTTGCCACCGAGCAACAAACTCAATCTTTTAAATATTAAAAAAAAAAAAGTATATCTTCACCTCCATAAAATATTCACATTAATAAATATGACTAAAACTAAAAAGTTTTCCAACCTAAACTATACAATAACAAATGAATGCATTTAGCTATTTAGAAAGACAGAAGGGAAAACAGAAGATTCCATCAGTTAAACCAAAATTGAATTAAGAAGCAGAAAGTTACTTATCATCTTACTAGTAAATGTTTCATTAGTATAAAATAAGTATCCACTCATCTTTGGCTTTTGTACCTATCATTGCTTCATCTTTGGGTTCTCATTTTTACCTTACAAAATATACTATCTCATTCCTCTACGTGATGGACAAAATGCAGCTTATAGCAGGGAGGGTAAGGGAAATTATGTAGTTATTACAAGTTGTTCTCTCTATTGAAAGTTCACACTCTTACAAAATATCAGTTTGTATGCTTATCTCTTAAGAACGAACTATGCAGGGAACTGGGGATAATACATATATAGGACCTGCCCTGGAGGCAGGATTATAGATAATTTTAGTTTCTTTAGAGTTTTTTGGAGGAGAAGAACTTACATAGAATAGTAACCTAAAACACTATGTGATAAATATTAAAACAGTAGCACCTTGAAGGAATTTTTGTTTGGTTGTTTTGGGGATGGGCTCAAAAAGAATTAATCTGAGAGAAAATTAGAATGACAACAGCAAAATTGAGATAAGCAAGTACAGGAAGAGCTGGTAGGAAGGTAAAATATTTTGGCAAGAATATGGTATGTAAGAAATTTGGTGAAATGGAAAATGTGTTGAATTAGGAAAAGGAAAAATGAATTCTAGCCCTAGCTCAATTGCTAAGGTGGTCTTAGGGCAACACATCCAACTTCTCTGAGTATGAGTTACGTCAAGAGTAAAATGAAAGTTCTGAGCTGGACGATCTCTTAAGGTGAATGAAAGCATTTCAAGTTTTCTTGAGTATTCTCATCTACTTCTGAGGTTTAATTTATCATGTATATCCTGAGAGCTCTCATATCATTATTTGGGCTCAATTTTTCTCCTGTGCCAGTAGTTTTTTTTCTCCTAGACCAGTACAGACATCTTTATCTGAATTTCCTTTTTGTAGGTACTTCTAACTTAATATGACCCATCTTTTTCCTGAATTTGATCCAACTTTTATATTTTCATCTTAACAGTACCACTCATGTTCTGAAGACAGAAGGCTAAGACTTTTCTTAGGATCTGTCTCTCCTTCATCCCTCTCAGAACATAAGCCACAAGATCATGACTGTTGTTCCTCAGAATGTCCTGAGAGTAAGACCTGTGCCTACCACCTCTCCCGTCGTCTGTTTCAATAGCTGGACTGTTTTAACAGCCTCCTCACTGGTCTTTCGGCCACCAGGATCTCTGGAGAATACTCCAATTCATCCTCAACAATGATGCTAACTTTAACTTTTTTTTTTAAAAAAAAGATGTTACTTCTCTGCTTAAACACATATGCTAACTTCCCATAGTATATAAAAACAAATCCAAATTATTTTGTCATGCAAGGTTCTTAACTGTCTTCCTGGTTTCAAGTTTCTAGTACAGTATCCTCTCCCACACCTATCCCATGCTCCTGCCATACTGTATTTCCCAGTTTCGTACCTTTATCCTTGCTGGTCACCTTTGCCTTCATTTCTCTTTTCATGCCCCACCTGAGAACCTCCTGCTTAACTTTCAAGATCCATTTAAATGCCAGCCTTTGTTTTTATAAGTCTGTTCTTTATTGCAGAAATTAAAACAAACACTTATTCACATATTTTTACTTAGCGTCTTAAATATCTCTCTGATTCACTAGGCTGTAAGCTCCTAAAAGGTAGTTCCATAGTTTTTTGGTGATTAGTAGTGTGTGGCAGACAGTAAGAATTCAAGATTTGCTGAATGGCATTTTCTATTATTTTTAAGCTGAGTTTCATTCTATCAGCAAGTTTTCCAACATTCTCTTCTTTACAGTTTGATTTTTAAAATAATTCTTAAATCTACTTGTATATTAAGCTTGGGTTAAACTATGAAACCAACTTAATATTCCCCCAAAAGATATTTTCCCCAATACCATTTGTTAGTCAATCCTTTTTTTTTTTTTTTTAAAGATGACCGGTAAGGGGATCTTAACCCTTGACTTGGTGTTGTCAGCACCACGCCCAGCCAGAATATATGGGATCCGAACCCGGGGCCTTGGTGTTATCAGCACCGCACTCTCCCGAGTGAGCCACTGGGCCGGCCCAGTCAATCCTTTTTTACACTCTAAGCATACTCCTTTTCTCTTAAATCACTTAATTTAGACTAGTCTTACTCTCACTTAGAGTACTGCATTAGCCTTCTGATTTTTCACCGCATCTTTCAATCTGATTCCCGGTAGACTTGAGACTGCCAGAAATCAAGCTTCCCAAGTGACAAAGCTAATTCTATCACTCACTCCCCAATCTAAAAGCTGCTGGCTCCCTTCTGGCAACAGGATAAAATCGACATGTTGGACTAGTATTTAACTCCCATTACAAAGTGGTTCCAACCTGCCACTCCCCATAAGGTCTCTTCTTCCTTGCTTAACAAACAATAGAGTGATTAAGAGAATAAGATCTGGAGTCAATCCAGTCCCAACACCATTCCTTATAAGCTGTGTAACACTGAGCTGAGTTATTTTTACCTCTCTATGCCTCCAGGTCCTCTTCTGTCACATGGAGCTAAATGGAGCTAATAATAACTACCTCACAGTTTGTTATGTGAATTGGAAAAACCGATACCTAAAGAAAGCTAGGTAAAGCCTGATGCATGGTTAAGGGATCAATAAAGGTTAAACATTATTATATCTTCTAAGGGTGGTCCTTTACACCTCTCTGCAAGGCCTTCCCAATAAGTTCTTGCTCTCCTAGGGCTTTACTCATACATTTATATCTGTTCTCACTTACCAGCTCTTTTACAATTAATTCTGTCTCCCCCAGTAGACTACAATCCTCTCTAGAGACTTGCTACCCAATATGCGGCCCATGGACTAGGAGACTGGCATCCCTGGGAGCCTGTAGAGATGAGAAACTAGACTCCTCCCAGATTTGAATGCATGAGAATCACCTCGGAAAGTTGTTAAAAATGCGTATTTCTAAGTTTCAGATTCTGGGTCATAAGGCTGGTTTTAACAAGCACCGCTCCTGATTCTATTGCAGATGGTCCCCATACCACACTTTGAAAAACACTGCTCTGGAGTCCATCACAGAAGTAGTGCCTTATTTGTCCTTGGTGAGCTAATGAGCTCCTGCCAGAGAGTATGCAACCAATAAACGTCAATTTAAACTCCGTAAAAGGGGGCGATGCACCATGGTAAGGAAGCACAAAGACGCCAAAGGGAGAATCAAAACTCACATACTGATGTCACGACTTCTGATCCCAAACAAAAACGGGTGCAACTGAGTAGAGCTTCAGACTCGGAGACAGTGTAGGCACCTGCCAGCGGCTTAATGGAAAAGGCGAAGGAAGAATCAAGAATGTGCTCTAACGCCGCTCCTTTAGGCCCAGCCCTTACCGTGCAGCAAGCGCTGGGTCTCCTGCAGCTCCTGCTCCTTCTCGCTCAGCAGTCTGGCCACCGCCACCAACTCAGGCCCCCTCTCATGCAACTGGGCTTCAGATCCTGCCTGGCGCTCAAGGAAGGTCCGCAAGAGCCCGCCGTGGGCGAACAGCTCCTCCAGCGGCGGGCTACCGCAACTAATGGGCCGACGAGCCGGGCCAATAGCCGGACGGGCCCAGAGACATCGGGCAGCGCCCCACAGAAGCCTGGACCGCATCACCAGGCTGAGACCGCGGAGCCTGACTTGGACCGGAAGTGCCGACAGAGCAGGTCTCGCGACGCCACCCGAGGTTTGGAAATGGCTAGAGCTGACCGATCCCTACTGTGCGTACGCGCAGGTTTTAAGTGCTTCCCGGAAACCTTGGTAGGAACTTCCGGCCAGAAGCGAAAACGCTGCAAAAGTTGTGGAGGCCAAAAGGTCAGTGGGCAGAGCGGAGAGCGGTTGGGCGGGGCTGTTGGTATGTCACTGCGGGGTGGGTCCGTGATACCTTGGGTACCTCCTCTAGACTCTAGGTCAGAAGTTCCTCCTCACAGGTTCTCTGGAGGCGTGTGGGCCTGTTTTCTTACGGTGAGCATTTGTTTCCCAAGCTCTGAATGGGACCTTCGAGAATCTCCCTTGGGTACCTCCTCTAGACTCTAGGTCAGAAGTTCCTCCTCACAGGTTCTCTGGAGGCGTATGGGCCTGTTTTCTTACGGTGAGCATTTGTTTCCCAAGCTCTGAATGGGACCTTCGAGAATCTCGGTGGAGGTCTGTCTAGTGTCCGTTTTGGGGGCAGAGGTCACAGCCACGGAAGTCGTCTGTCCTCAGTGCCATCCTGGCCAGTAGTCTCCAAGAGCGAATTTGAGGATGGTCGCGCGTGTGTGCGTGCGTGTGTGTATTTTTTTTTTTTTTTTCCTGCTCATGTTTCTCTTTTCAACGGTGGGTCAGGTTCACGTTAATGAGGATTTAACAAGTCTATTCTAAGACAACCACCGAGCTATGTTGCAAGATCTACGTTTCTGCCCTTCATCTGCCACGGAACTTACTTGCTTTCAAACGACTTCCTTTTTCACCTGCCCATCCATTCTCACCTATTCCTAGTTACCATCAGCTACCTTTTAAAGAGTTTGAGTGAATCCGTGTTGTAACAAACTACAGTACAGCAGAACCTTCAGAGACACGCCTCCAGTAGCCCACCCCCATCCCTTTCCCCAAAACTGCAGATAGCCGATAGGTGCAGGAATACTGAAGTTTATTGGTATAATGCTTTGCAGTTTTCAGAAGACGTATTCAAAACCCACCAGAGAAATGGAGGTGAGGGAATAAATACAACCAAGATAGTCTTGGGAATGCAGGGGCTGAACGCTCAATCTGGAAACACTCATTACCTAACTAGTTTGGGCAGGGTCTACTAAAACTTTCGTTGTTGACAGAGATGACATACCGAAAGTTTCTAATTATTATGAAAAAGAATCAAATATTAAAAAATGGGAGCTCTTAAGGTTAAAATATCCTTATACCATCTAATCAAAGGTATTGAAGTTAAGTATACATTCTTAGAAAATGAAAACGACTTTGCATTGCCTCTTCCTCCCTTAGCACTACATGCAAACGCAAAGTGGAAAAATAAAATCTCTTTCCAGATGACAGAAAGCAAAATAGTTTTGCTACTTAAAAGCTCCAACTAATTACCTCATTTCTTTATTTTCCTTTTATAATCAAGCTACATTACTTTTAAAAATTGTTTTGCTGTAATATAGTGGTTGAAAACCATTTTATTTTAATTCTGATTTGAGTATAGGACAGGACTGGTTAGGTTGTTTATATCCCTAGGAGAAACAGATACTTCCCAAATCTAAAGTCACCTCTGAAATTTTTTTTTAACCATAGAAATGGTGGGAGTCATTTGAACTTAACATAATGAATCTCAGCTGAATTCTCAAATCAAGTCATTTCAAGAGTATATTTTATTATTTATAAAAGGTGCAAAATTGTAATAAGCAATAACCTTACAGAACAATGTAAAGAATCTAGCCAGAATTTATTATCTTCCCTCAGATGCATAAGCAATTTAAGTAACACATGTAAGTTCCTTTTATTTTTATAGTGTTAGACGAATGAGGAAACAGTAACTTGTCTAAGGGTATATCGGTGAATTCTTTATTCATTCAAAACATTTTAAGAAAGTCAGTGTAATGTATATGCATTTTACAATCACATCCATAGGTTTCCACAATATAGTCAAATGAAAACAGCTGTAGTTTGATTTACTTTGAGAACTCAAAGACATATACTTCGAGACTTCTGAATTTTCTTACATTATTGTCATGCTCAAATTAGTCACATGGTGAAAACTTTAACATTTTCAGGAAGTCTATTATACATAGTAAACTGATAAAATAGATTCAAGGAAGTGAAAATAAAAACCCAGAATAACTTAAATTGGAGGAAAGATAATCTGGATTATCTATTCAATATTAATACCTACAGTTATTCTGGCATTGCAAAATAGCCAGGTGTGGTACCTCTTAAGTTGTTTGTATTCATGCATTCCAAATTGCTTATAGTCCACTAATAAATATTGGTGGAATCCAAAATATGGATATAGATTATTAAGTACAATGAACATGATAGTAAAAAATTACCATCAGTAAGAAATCTTACAGAACCAAACACACTGAAATTCTTTGTAAGATTTAGCAAACATCTTAAAATCATATACAAGAAACACTGTGTTTATGACAAATAGGTTAAAGCCAGGTGGAAAAATATCAAGTCTTTTTACATTATCTCAATATTCAGTGTTCATTGTTCAGTGGAAGGCAATATAGAAAAGCACTAAACAAAATGGTTATCAATTTAAATTATCTTTTATGAGAATTAGTAAAACTAAAGTCTTTGATATCCAAATTATGTAGAGGATCTACGTAGTTCAAGGGAATAAAAATCACTTTCATCTGTATTAAATGAATATTCAAGCTAACAGTGTTTCAGAGTTTTATTTTCCCATTTCACTTTCCAGTTCATTGTATTTTCTTCATAGCATTTGTTAGTAAGCATTTAATGGAACCTAATATTAATGTTGAGAAATCTGAGAATTTTTTTAGGTTAGTGTAAATGTCCACTAAACTTATTTCCAGTATAAACTCTTAAAAAATGTATTATATTACACTGGAGAAATCTTACAGGCACTACCCCAGCCCTGTGGGTCAAGGTCAACAGCAACATCAATGGACAGACACTACCTCAGGCAGGTTATCAAGGTCAACATCAAGAGCTAAAGGGAGCCTAAAGTTTGAGAAACTGTTACAGCTAAGAGGAGTCATGATGATGGTATGTATCTTTGATATGTGATGATAATGGCACTTTACCTCTGTGGTCTTCCTTCTGAAAACCAAAACCACTGTCTAATCATGAGAAAAATATAAGACCAATCCCAACAGAGGGACATTCTACAAAATACCAGATCAGTACTCCTCACAACTGTCAAAGTCATCAAAAACAAGGATCTTACAGCTAAGAAGAGCCTAAGGAGACGTGACAACTAAATGTAATGTGGCGTCCTAAATGAGATCCTAGAACAGAAAGAGGACATTAGGTAAAAACTAAGGAAAAGTGTGGACTTAATGAATCAATATTGGTTTGTTCATTGTGACAAAATGTTCCATGGGTGTGGGGTATATGGGACTGCTTTGTACTATCTTTGCAGTTTTTCTGTAAATCTAAAACTATCCTAAAATAAAAGGTTTAATGAAAATTTTTATGAACACATAACCACCTTTTATTAATTTTTCTTGTTGTATTTTCATCGTCAAATTGTTAAAGAAAATCACACTACCGTAATAAAAATAATGTTTTATAATTGTCAGTCTCTTATAACTTAATTTTAGCTCTACCACCCATTTACAAACTTGGTAAATGACTCGATATTTATATTATTCCTATCTTTGGGAATGTTGTTTTATTTCCATTGGAAATAAATTTTTCAAATGATTTCTCATATAAACTTTAATTTTGACCTACAATTGTGTGTGTATGTGTGATGACATTGAAAGAAACACTTCTAGATTGTAGATTAGGTGTGTTATTGATAACTGAAAATAGTGATTTTGAATCACATTATTAAACAAAGCAATAACATTGATATAGTCTTCCATGTTAAGATAAGCCTGGTTGTATTTTTTAGATCAATAATTAAATCATTTTCAAAGTATACTTTGAAAAAATAGGGGAGAAGTGCATTTAAATAACATTTAATACTGACATTCCTGAAAATAGCAATTATTGAACCAAAGAACTTTGATAAAATAATGTTATATGTAGCACTTTATTCTTTCCATGTTTTTTTTATTTAGTGCCCATAGCCATTTTGTAAATTATTATTTGTTTATTTACAGATGAGGAAACACTCAGGATAAATGACTTGCCTAAAGTCACATGAGACAGAAATGTAACTTGAAATCAAATTTGTAATTCTAAGTTTCTGATGTTTTTATGTTGTACTCCATATGTGAACCTTTGGACATATATTTTTATTAGTAAGCATTGTATGTGGCATCATTTAATATAGCAATAAGAACTAGATCTTTAGAAAGGAAATGTATGCGAGCATAGGACAGAAATACAGTCTATTTAACTATTACTCCAAAGTGTTTATTGTATGTGGCATCATTTAATATAGCAATAAGAACTAGATCTTTAGAAAGGAAATGTATGCAAGCATAGGACAGAAATACAGTCTATTTAACTATTACTCCAAAGTGTTCATTTGTAACTTTAAAAGCTGGAATGCTGTGGCAGCAATTAGGTACAATTCAACAGTTTTGAAATTCCTAAATTTCTGAAACAGAAAAGAGATTTAATAAGAGAAATAATGAGGGAAAAAGGGATTTCTGGTTAACATATGACATACTAAAAAATAGTACATCTGAGCTCACTTGGTTAGAGCATGGTGCTAATAGCAGCAAAGTCCAGAGTTCTATTCCTGTACTGGCCAGCTGCCAAAACAAAACAACTCCAAAAAACCCACATCTGGTTATTGTTATCAGTGTCTAATAGCATTCCTTTTCCCTATTCATCTAAAAGCTTCTGTCATAGGAATGAAATTAGTCCCCAAACTATTATCAGTTAGTGAAATACTTTGTAGTGTTTTTATTTGAGTCAAAGTCTTGAATATCCCCTTAAATTAATCTGAAAAGATGTCAGTTGGGGCTGGAGAGGACTATACCTATAAGAGTAATAGTTTTTACAATACTGGTAAAGAAATCAAAGCCTGCTATTTGGAAATAATATTTATCACTTTGTGCCCTGTTTGTTGCAAGGATATTGTAAGTGTTGCAGAGAAGATCTGAAGCAAGTTTTTGATACCAGTTTTATTGATAAATATTTGCAATTGTAGTAAGTGAAGAATTACTAAAATTGTTACAGATTGAATACTGTTTTCTCAGGAGAACAAACATTTTATATTGGTCATAAATTTAAAAACCAAATAACACCACTCAAATACAAGTGTTTGCAAAAAATACTTTGAAAATCAAGTTCATAAACTGTCAATGTAAATATATGGACAAGAATTTTTTTTCTGGAAATATCCTTACCATCTTTCAAAATAATTTGCCAATGTATCAAGCTCAAAGTATTCAAAATTCACCTTTGATAGGATTCCTAGGCATTTTCTCTCTCTGAAAAAATTTACATGGTTTTCAAAGGGTTTTATTTTCCCATTTTCTGATCGTATTTTAAATTCCTCCCCTTTACGTTTCTTCACCAAAGCATCTGATAATTTATATTTTTCACAAATGTAGTTTGTCACAATTACACTATGACTTATTTTTTTCAGTACAGAAAGATGTATAGAAAAATTGATAAATTCAAAATTAAAAATCAAGTATTTTAAATAAGCTTAATGGGTGAAAAATATTTTTGCCCCTAATAAACATTATTTACCTATTTTGATAGTAATTTTGTAAAACTGAACTATCAGATACATATGCAGTACTCATTTCATTGTGTAGGTAAGAACCTAGGCAGCATTAGGGAGACTAATAAATACCCCATGCGCTATGGACAAATATCAGAACTGCTTATCCTATGTACACATTTTGGATTTCAAAAAAAAAAGATACCACAGAGACCACATTTTAGTCTTGAGTTTGCATTTAGTAACTTCATTATCAAAGCTGTGTTTTGTTTTACTCTTGTTCATATGCATCCTGTAACACTGTCACAGCATCTATACTACCTTTGGGTAATGTAATAACAATTAGCCAGAGTAGAGAAGTGTCATCCATCTATTATAAATGCGATTTATGTACAAGATCAATCTCTGAAGAAATCTGGTTCTTCAACTTATTTATATATACGTAATCTATATTCTCTACTTTTCTTTCCATTGTAGATATGTCTGAAGATAGGCATTATAAAAAGTGCATTAACCTCTTTCTGTGTACATTAGCAGATTTTAACAGTATACAAAGGTATCTTGGCAATCTAAACCACAAAGTGTCTCTTTTAAAGTGCTAATTTTTCCCCAGGGAGGAATTTACTCAATAAGAAAAATCAAATTCTATTAAAATAAATATTGTGCTCTTGGAATGGTAGCATAAACACCAGTTGAGAGCTTTTTTGTTTATTACAGCTCTGTAACTTAAACTGAAGGAATTATACCATACTTAAAAAACTGGTAGAGTTGCAAATATACACTTAGAAACTTTAAACATTTTGAAATTAAATGAGAAACCCTACTCTCCCCTTAAAATATGAGTTTAGCACAGAAAATGCTCAATAGCATGGTTACCAACATCTGATTTGTAAATCTGCTCTAGAATCATTCTCAACACAACTTCCTAATCAAATTTCAAAAGTATATACCAACTTCAAAATCTCAATTATACAATGCCCAGGTTAGAGATTAGTACTCTTTATTAGGGCCCTTATCTTTTCATTTGGTAAAATATTAAAAGTATTGTCAAACAGACAATTCATCTAGTAGTCCAAAGTATCTTATAAAGATAACTTATGACTAGTAGGTCACCATCATATATAGTAACAACAGGAATATAAAGTCTACATTTAAAAAGATCAATGCATGCAGTATATCTTAGTATATTACATATTTTCTAGTCATTTGCACCAATTTATTGTGCCTCAAACACAGAAACAAGTATGATACTACACCATATATGTGTATACATCATAGTAGCATAATAAACTCAATTCTAATCAAGAAAAAAATTAATTTATGAACAATAGAACTTCACAATAGAAGTGATGATTCTTTTAGGTTTTTCTTTACTCTAGGAAAAAAATATGACTTTTTGTAAACATCTTTATAGCTATCTTTTTCAACATATTACTGAAAACTATTATTCAAATAGTTAAATATCTAAGTGACATGGATAAAATATGTCTTAACAAACTAACACTTTCAGAAAAAAACAGGCATTTGTTAAAAGAAATGATTATTATAAATATTTTCTATCTTGCATTTTAACTACATTTTCATAAATAATATATTTAAAAGTGCTGAATATGGTAGGATAGTCAGCAACGCCAGTGTAAACAGAACATTTTGTTTTCTACTCCGCAATTTTTTTTAAAAATCCCATTTTGTCAAACACTGCAACAGTTAAAATATTTGCATAGGGAATAGATATTTTAATAGCCCTTTTAATCATGTCTCCTGAATTCTATATAAATTAGAAAGTCATATTCACTTAAAAATCAATTCTTGAAATGTTTTAAGTTTATGGAAAAAGAAACTTACGATGCCAACCTTTCAAGTAAAATAAACTTAAAAAAAAACCCTCCAAACTTGTTTTTTTTTTAAATATGTTTAATAAATTAAAAATGAGAGGTAGTTAAAAAAATGACAAAGAAAACCTATAATTTTAATATCATCCTTAATATAAGGCCAGTGTTCTCAGTGGATATAAATCTTTTTAAAACTTTCATTTTAGGTTACTCAGTATTATATTCATTCAGTTTAAGATTAAAAAAATAGTCTCCAGGGGGTATTACTATTCAAATGTAACACCTTGATATAAATATGACACTGATTATTAATATTAGCATTTTTGTGCACAACACGATATTGTTTTCTTGAATGTCAGAAGTATATGTGAATGTTAGGCAAGTATTTTGTCTTAAAGATTTAGTGTACTTATAAAAAATAATACGGCAGCTAGGAGATTTGAGCACTGTACTGCCTTTTAATTATAAATGAGAATTAATAGTTTGGTTTTAATATTTTTAAAAGAAATCATTCTTAAGATACTATGTGAAAACAGTTAAGGTCTGAAGTAGAGAATTATCTTCTTCATAACCCATATAAAACTTTTCTTGGTAAAAACTTAGCTTTTTAGTTGAATTTCACTTTCAAGGAAAATATGCCACAAGACAAAAGCTATTCATCAAAATGTTTTACAGTGCTACATGTAGGCATTTCTTTATTAAATTCTTTTCTTTATATTCCCAAACTGTGTTATCAACCTTGTTATTTTTTGTTGCTGAAGTACATGACTTTACACAACCATGTTAGAACTCGAGAGCCAGTCTTTAATAAATTAATTACAGTATTGGACATCTGATATATACATATAGATTCATTTTCTCCTAATACAATTAAAAACAATATCACTCTTTGATTTGTCATTGAGATAGAATATCTTCAGATTGTTTTGTGCTTTTTTTTCATTTCTTCTTTTTCTTCTTTTTTTAAGAACTCTTAAAACTCTTCTGTAATGAAAATGCCATAGTTTTGGCAGTGAACAACCAGCGGAATCCCGCATTTAGGATTTCCCAACAGAGATAAATAGCTCTTTTTTCATGTACAGAAATATTGGCTTCAAAATTAGTGTACTGAACACAGTATATATAGCATGTTGAAGACCATTGTTACATTTAAAAAATTGCTTTTTTCTGTCTTAGATTATGTTAAAAAATGCAGACCACAGCCAATTTTTTGGCAATTATTTCTGTAAGACCATATTGCACAAAAGTCCTTAAATACAGATATGTGATGCTATTGGATTAAATATTACAAACAACTACGTGGCAAATGAAGCAGTTTTACTTTGCACATGCAGTCTCTGGAGATACACTAGGAGACTGTTCATAGGACTACAAATACAGTTTGCTTGCAAGTAGAATGAGTATTGAATAAAACATATTTAATTTGGCAATTCATTGTTTTATGTGGTATTTCCTCCAAACTTAACCAGAATAACCTTGATAAAAATGGAGACAAAGACCATAATGGTTGTATTTTCACAGTAGCCTGAGGAATGCTAAACTGTAGTTCTCCAGGAACTCAGTTTCTGATGTTATTTAACTACTTTTATTTTTTATCCTAGCCCTCCAAAATGATTTTTTTTTAAATGAAAATTAAGATTCAGAAGAAGAGCCGGCAGTACTTTGAAGAAATGACTTATAAATTTGAGAGTTCAAAAACCTTGGAAAAGAATCTCTGTGCATTAAGGTATATATCTGAAGTTGGGCATCTTCATACATGTGAGGATTAGGATCCAACAGATTTCTATTGATCACCTCTCTAACTCGAGAATCAAGACTGACCTAAAAAGAAATAAGAGCAGATACATTAAATAATATTTTTTTCAAAAGACTTAAATTAAGTAACTGTAGGTTTGTGACACCTAAGAGAAACTTCAGAGAATAAAGACAGCTACTGAAAATCTTGAGGTTATCTTTTGAAAGGCTACATAACCTTACATACACTTTTTTCCTTCAAAAACTGAATTAAACAAAAAACACCTAGTCAATTAAACTAGAAATTTAGTTCACAGATATCTTGATTTACTTGGATTTATCTTTTCTATGCATTTATTCAGGAGTTTTTGACAATTTCTATTTATTGTTGAGGTACCAGGGAATTCCCTAGCCAGAATAAGAATTCACCTCCTCCTAGTCTGTGACTGCTGCAGGTGACTCATGATAACAAAATAAAAATCTATTGGCAGAGAAGAGTTCTCTGACAAAAATTAACATGTATATCAAATGCCAATTCCCAATAGTTTCATATGCTAACAATTCCTGCTGTGTCAAAAGTAGAAAACCAGGAATGTGGACAGGCACAGTAAAGCAGAAATGCAGCAAGCATTCTTCATGTCTTAGGTCTACCTGGCAAGGCCTAGGGAACATCCTTCTGCAGGAATACATCCAAAGACCCCTGTACTAAAGATGAAGTAGAACAATTGCTTGAAGTGGAATGTTTGAGAGGGAAAATATAAATAGGAATTCAGAATACCTATTAAAATCATCAGTACAATGTTTTTGAAAAGTTTACAGAAATAAAATTATAAAGTGATTTAGTCCCCAACGCCCCCCCTCCCCCCGGAATGCTAATCCTGTTGGAAATAGTAGGATGTGCTGGAAAGGGAAGTGGGGAAAAATAAATAGCAATAAGGGCATGCTTAGGGGAACAGAATGAAAGCTCTGCCCTGAAATGTCATGTTAGAAAAAACTTACAAGAGGCAACAGTGACTCAGTCCTGATGGGTTTCCTCAATACTCACTACTGAGCAAGGAATAGGACATTGCAATCTTAGTTAATTTGTCTCAAGATATATTCAAACATACACAAACCTTTCATATTTATGTCTAAACATTTTTTTCATAAGCAATTTGCTAAAGCCTTTTTGGTTCTGGCTTCTTTTCCCACACACTATTTGGACTAAGTCTGAGGTGTGAAATGGTCTTTGAAGCCACTCATATTATATCTAGTATCCCCAGATTCCTGAGCTCTACAGACCATGTAGAATTGGGTTGATTGATCCACCCCAGGGAGGGCTGTTAGATTTGTCATGAAATGGTGATCCAGACTAAATTTCTGTGGTTTGGCTAAATAACATACACACAGAAAAACTTAAACATCTCTTGACTGAACTATATATTCTTCTCTATTGAAAATTCTTTTAAAAAAATAAAAAGATGTTCTGAAAATGCATCATCTAGTTTTTATCTTCTGTGTTATTGCTATATGAGGTCATCTTCAAAAACAAAGTAAAAAAAAGTACAGAATTTTTCTTAAAAAAATAAAAAGATGTTCTGAAAATGCATCATCTAGTTTTTATCTTCTGTGTTATTGCCATATGAGGTCATCTTCAAAAACAAAGTAAAAAAAAGTACAGAATTTTTCCCCCAAGCTTTTCATTTTATCTAAAAATATCTCTTGTATTTCTGTGCAGTAGGAAAATGTTGACATTGGAGTTTAAACTGGTTCATCTTATTCTGAAATGTGGTGTTATGACAAGGTGAAGGCTATTTTTATAAATACTTTCAAACTTGAGAGAATTTTTTGTTTCAATGGAGAAGGAAACCTTAGAATAGTGATAAAGAAGAGTCATTTATTTCTTAAATAATAGCATAATTAAATATATTGTAACAGTTTTTTATCAGTAGCAGAATCATATTAGTTATCAAGACAAATAAAATAATACAAAATATTAAGATAAAGAAGAGTCATTTATTTCTTAAATAATAGCATAATTAAATATATTGTAACAGTTTTTTTTATCAGTAGCAGAATCATATTAGTTATCAAGACAAATAAAATAATACAAAATATTAAGTGTCTTGAGGCCTTATTATTTAATTTCTATTCTTTTGCAAATTAAAAGCAGTAGTAAAATATGAAAAGTAGTGCAGTTCAACATTTAATAATCTGTAACAAAAATGTATTTGCCATTTCTGCTTAAGAAATAAAGTATTTACCTTAATATCTGTTTGTTTGAAAAGGTTGTCGGTCAGTCAAAAGAAGTGTAGAGAGGTCAAAGAACAAGGATAAACCCCATGGGTATAAAAATCTATAGTTTCATCTGTGCCTCTGTGCTTCAGAATGTGGAACATCTATAATACAAGGTAGTGGGGGTGGATCCCAGCTTGGACCTAAGCCATCTTCACCCTAGGATTCAGGTGTGTCTTGATGGCTTATAAAGCCATCTTATCTGGGATCCATTGCATGAGGGACTGAGGAGTTTCCTGGAAATAACTCATCCTAAGGGAAGAGAAAGTTGAGTAGCACAAGAAAAGAGCTATCCTTGGGCAATGGAATTCTCCTCTTACTAGTCTCTGTAGACTCATACCCAGGTGGCAGGGGAGTTGTGGGGGGCGTACATTACAGCAAGAGTAGAACTTTAAGAAAAGCACTGATGTACTACCATGAGACAGGGCACATGACAGCAGTGATAGATGTGGCAGCATTTAACTGGCAGTTTTAGCAACGGTGAAAACTTTGATAGTGTTGAGAGGTGGCAACTGAAGCTCTAAAAAGATACAAGTGACTGTAATAGGCCTCAGTGACCTAGGAAGCTTTCATTCCCACAGGAATTAGAAGACAGGGAAGAAAAGCAAGCAGCTTGCAAGCATAATAAAAATATCCACCGGCAATTCCACAAAGTGTTGGAGAGGAAATTTTAGTGATGGCTAAGATTGTTCAACCGGAGTATGGAGGTAAAGTGGGGAGAAGGAAGACAGAGAAATCTTGCTTGTGTGGCTTGGCCTGGCTAAACTGAGTAATGTACTGTGGTTAATCTTGCTAGATTTCCTATCCAGTGAAG